AGTGGATGAGGGTTCCACTCTCTCCATATCCTTGCCAACGCCTGCTGTTTTCCTTTTATTTTTATATATCATAGTCAACTCAGTGGGGGTGAAATGATATCTTAGTTTTTTGTTCATTTTTTAATTAGGTGTGTGTCTTTTTGTTAAGTTGTAGGAGTTCTTTATATGTTCTAGATATTAAACTCATAAGATATATACCAAACCAGACCCATTGCCGGCCAGTCGATTCTGACTCATAGCGACCCTATAGCGCAGAGTAGAACTGCCCCATAGTTTCCAAGTCTATTTTACGGAAGCAGACTGCTACATCTTTCTCTTGCGGAGCAGCTGATAGGTTCGAACCACCAACCTTTCGGTTATCAGCTGAGCGCTTAACCACTGCACAACCAGGGCTCCTTATAAGATATACAGTGTTGCCAAATTTTTTCCCAGTGAGTAGGCTGTCTTTTCGTTTGTTGATTAAAGTCCTTTGATGAACAAAATTTTTAATTTTAATGAAATCCCATTTGTCTCTTTTGTTTTTTGTTGCTGAGGCTCTTGTCATATCTTAGAATGCATTGTAAAATATTAAGTCCCAAAGCACTACCCCTATCTTTTCTTTTAAGACTTGTATAGTTTCAGTTCTTACTTTTAGGTCCTTGATCCATTTTGAGTTGATTTTTATATATGGTGTGAGGTAGGGTTCCAACTTCATTCTTTTGCATGTGGAAATCCAGTTGTCCCAGCACCATTTATTAAAGAGACTGTTTTTTTCCCATTGAATGGTCTTAGCACCCTTGTCGAAAATCAGCTGACCATAGATGTGTGGGTTTATTTCTGGACTCTCAATTATGTTCCATTGGTTAAGAAGTCTATCATTATACCAGTATATAGTATGTTTTGAAATCAGGAACTGTAAGTCTTCCTACTTTTTTCTTCTTTTTTCAAGCTTGGTTTGCCTATTCAAGGCCATTTTCTGTTCCATACCAATTTGAGGATTGGCTTTTCTGTTTCCGTAAAGATGGCTGTTGGAATTTTGATGGGGATTGCACTGAATGTATAGATTGATTTGGGTAATATTTACATTTTAACAATATTGTGTCATCCAATCCATGAACATGGAATGTCCTTCCATTTATTTAGGCCTTCTTTAATTTCTTTCAGAATGGTTTATGGTTTTCAGTGTATAAGTCTTTCCCTTCTTTGGTTAAATTGGTTCCTAAGTATTTTATTCTTGTAGATGTTATTGTAACTAGAATTGTTTCGTTACTTTCCTTTTCAGATTGTTCATTCCTGATGTATAGAAACCTGATTGATTTTTGTGTGTTGACCTCGTATCTTGGTAGGAGTGTTTTTAAGGCCGGTTAGCTTACTTAACCGGTAACACCACCCTCAATTTTGACTGTTCTCAATTTTGTTTATTCATTAGAGATTTTTTGCTTCACTCCCTAATCCATCCTGATCTCCTTAGTATCCTCATCATTATCATTGTTTCATGAAAGGGGAGATGTAAAGGAAGATGAAGTTTTACTGGTCAGTATGTGATTAGGACTGTTGAATAAATAACAGCTCAATCATCTTGTGACCTCAGGGTGGGAGCAGCCTTTCCTTTAGATGAGTTGGAAGCTGAAGAGACAGATTTTAAGGGAGGTTTGTGAGCAGTGTAGGTGGAGGAGTATAGTGAGAGTATAATCCTGTTGCCGTTAAGTCAATTTTGACTCATAACGACCCTACAGGACAGAGTAGAAATGGCCCATAGGATTTCCAAGGAGCAGCTGGTGGAGTAGAACTACTAAACTTTTGGTTAGCAGCCATGCTTTTAACCACTGTGCCACCAGGGCTCCTATGAGAGTGTACTGGGGTGTTTCTCTTGGTCAGAACAGTGTGAGTCAGGGACTGAGGAGGTAAGAGCTCTATGAATGGAAGTCCGTAGACAGCCGGAGAGTTGCCTTGATGCATTGGGACATCGAGGTCACGCAGAGCTTTGAGACAAGCAGTATCACTGGGTGCGATGTGCTCTGCAAGAAGTGACTCAGTGTGAAACTCTACCATGTGAGAGAGACAGCTTCTTGAGTCATTCTCTGGTATTGCTGAGCATTTCGGAATGGGTTTCTCTTACAGCCCAGCAGTAGACCTGAGCCTTCATACTATCTGCAAGCTGAGGGGAAGGCATACGTTCAGATCTGGGGCTACAGACACTTGACCATGGATGACTTCTTTTGTTTCTGGGCCCAGAAGCTTAGCTGTGAAGTCACTCACTGTCTATAAAAATTTTGGCAGAGAATATCTTAAATTGTAAGTGGTTCTAGAAGATTATTGTAGCCCCCCGCCCCCCCCCCAAAAAAAAAAAAACCATTGCTGTCGAGTTGATTCCAACTCATAGCTACTGTATAGGACAGAGTAGAACTGCTGCATAGGGTTTCCAAGGAGTGGCTGGTAGATTAGAACTGATGACCTTTTAGTTAGCAGCCATAGCTCACTATAGCTCTTAACCACTGGTCCACCAGCCTAAAATATTTTTTAAGTTCCATTTCTGCTGAAATGCTAAGGGGAATTGGGAAAGAAATTTTTATCTGTAATTGTGCTGAAGAATTAAAGGGGAATAAGCAAATAAATCAATTCATCCAACAAGTAATTATTAAGCACCCACTATATCAGGTCACTATGAGTTGGAATCAACTCAACAGCAATGGGTTTGGTTTGGTTTTTATGTTCCAGTTGGAGTCCAAATGGCACAGTGGTTAAGAGCTTGGCTGCTGACCAAAAGGTTGGCAGTTCAAATCCACTAGCTGCTTCTTGGAAGCTCTATGGGGCAGTCTTCCTCTGTCCTATAGGGTCACTGTGAGTCGGAATTGACTCAACAGCAATGGGTTATGTTCCAGTCACTGTTCTTGAATCTGGGGATTCTTTGGTGAACAGAACAAAGTCCCTGATTTCACTCAACGCTTATTTTATAGAGGAGAAAATTACCAAGTAAACAAATACAATTCAGGTAATAAAAAGTGCCATGAAGAAAATGAAGTGAGGTAAGGAGATAGAGAGTGACAGGTATAGAGGATTTTAAATAATACGTTGGAAAGCAAAGCATACATGATGTAAAGGAGAGAGCGTGAGGAGTTGGGGCTGGGTTAGTGGGCAGGACGGCACTCCTGGCCAAGGGCACCCTGAGTATACAAGCACTGAGGCAGAATGAGCTGGGTGTGTTTGAGGAACAGCACAAAGGCTAGGTGATGAAGTTGAGAGGTGAGCATTGGCCATATCACAGAGGGTTTTGTGGCCACTTTCAGAATTTGGCTTTTTTGGCAAGTGTGGTAGGAAATCGTGAGAGTTTTGAGCAGGTGAGTGACGTGATCTGATTTGCGTTTAAGAAGTTCCTTTTTTTAGGGAGAAGAGACTTAGGAGGAAGAATGGAAACAGAAGGTCAGTTAGTTTGTTGTAAATGTCCAGGCAAGAGATGACAGTGGCTTAGACCAGGGTGGTAGTGACCGAGGTCGTAAGTGGTTAGATGAAGGTAAAGTCACCAGGACTAATGGACTGGATGTGGGATATTAGGAAAAGAAGGGAGTCCGGATGACTCCTAAATTTTTTGCCAGAGCAACAGAGTAGATGATGTTGCCATTTCCTGAGTTGGAAACAACTGAGTGAGTAGCAGGTTATGAGAGGAAGGAGGCTGGGAAGAATCAAGGATTCAGCTGTGGACTGGTGAGTTCAAGATGTGTGTTAGACATTCAGGTGGAGGTGTTAGCTATCTGGGACAGGGCGAAGTTTGGGCTGGAGACACATTTGAGGGGCATCCGGATTCATCTGGTGTGTAAGGCGGGCGGCCAAGAGCCCCAGGGGAATGCATGAGACAGAAGAGAAGGCAATGATTGTGCTCTGGGGCCCTTCAGCAAGTGAGATCCAGAACAGAGGAGTCACCATGATAGGTGAGAACTAGGAGTGTGTCCCAGGGGCCAAGTGATACAAGCTTGTCAAGGAAGAGTGAGGTGTTAGGTGTTGCTGAGAGGTGGAATAAGATGAGCTTGTTGTTAGGTGCCCTTGAGTTGATTCAGACTCACTGTGACCATGTAGGACAGAGTAGAATTGCCCCGTAGGATTTCCAAGGCTGTAATCTTTACGGAAGCAGACTGCCACATCTTTCTCCCTCAGAGTGGTTGGTGGGTTCCTGCTGCCAGTCTTCTGGTTAGCAGCCAAGCTCTTAACCACTGCGCCACCAGGGCTCATTGAGATGAGCATCCAGTATGGTAATTGGCTATGGCAAGTGGAGGCTGTTGTTGAACCTGAGAAGTGTAGGTTCAGTAGGTGGGCCAAAGTCTTTTGGAGATGGTTTAAGAGAGAAGGGCATGTTAGGAAATGGAGACAGTAAGAATAGAGAACTCGCAATTATTTTTGCTGTAAAGATCGTGTTCCCCACCTGCCCTCCACTATGAGAAACTAATGTTGAGAGGTTCAGGGAGGGCGCACCCCTGTCCAACACATACTACCTGAACACTTTGTTTTCTCATCCTTCACCATAAAATGTTTTCTATTTGGTTTTTACAAAGGAAATTCTTATTTACCTATATTGGCGTATCAAGTATGAGATCTCTCCAGCCATAATTTGGTAATTTGAATCATTCTACCAACACCGTCCATCCTGTGTTCACATTTTAATCACCCAGATTGAAAACTATGTGTGCCGGCTATGGGGGTGTTGGTTCCAGCTCTATTTTGGTAGCTTACCTGCTCCTGGTGCTTTAGAAATGGCCGGAGTAGAACTCTGGCCTCACACCACAGGTCTAGTGGCCTGGGTGTGTGTGTCCCTGGTGACCACTGCCGACAGCAGGGAGCCTGGTCTCACTCATCCATCTGGTCCCCGCCTCACGCTGTGTGGCCAGGCCTGGGTGGTGTCCAAGGGCTTAGTCTGGGGCAGGCGGTGCCCTACAGAGCGGGGCACTTGGGGCGAGGGGCGTTAGGTGAGCACCTCCACAGTCTTGTTGGAACCACCTCTAAGTCACCAGCTCTTCCTTTTTCCTCTCCAGGTAAGAATGACGGCTCAATTGGAGGGAAGCAGTACTTCAAGTGCAACCCGGGCTACGGACTCCTGGTGAAGCCCAGCCGCGTGCGGAGGGTCACAGGCGTGGCCCGGCGGCGCAGTGCTGGGCTCAGGCTGCAGGGTGCCGCCGCTTCCGAGGCCCGCAAGAGCGCCACCCTCTCTGGCTCCGCCACCAACCTGGCCTCCCTGACAGTGCTGGCCAAAGCTGAGGGCGGGGCAGCCCTGCGGGCAGAGAGGAGCCAGAAGAGCATGGAGAACCGAAAGTCCTGGGCCAGCTAGGCCGCTGTAGGTGCCTCCTGGGAGCCACCTCCCTGGAGACGCCACCCTGGCACAGTCGGGCACCATTGCCTGCCTGCTTCCTTGTGGCCTTCTTTGCACTAACCAGGAGGGAATATGGTGCCCCCTTCAGAGCTTTGCCAATAAGGACCCGCGGAGGAGAGGAGGGAGGCTTGTGCAACTCATTCTAGGGGTGGAGCAGGGGCCCTGAGGGCTTTCTTCATGATGCAGGGCTGGTGACCACTCCCTGGATCTCCCAGGAGTCCTGAAGCTTTCTTTCTTCCTCTCCCCAGACAATGAGGCATCTCAGTTGCTGCCTCCTTAGGGTAGCAGGCCGAAGGTTCTAGGAGCCCAGAAGGTTCTGGATTGTGTGGAGCCGAGGCCTTGGTGGCAGGAAGCCCCTGCTCATCTTCATATCTGCCTGGGGGCCTTGCCCAGTGGGGCCTTTTGTTGCTCTTTTTTTTTCCCCCCTATTCTGGTGACCCCTTGTAATCACTTACTTAAAAATAACAGCAACTAGTGCCTCCTTTCTTCCCCAAAGGTGGGGCTTCCTCCCTCTGCCTGGACCATCCAACCCTTTGTCTAGTCCTGGCCTGGTCCTCCAGCCTCTCTTTATCCCTCCCACCCCTAAATTTCTCACACTAGATAACAACATTCCCATAAGTGCCTCTGGCTCCCTGGGGCTTCTGGCAACGGTTCTGTGCCCCAGAGATGACTCAGGGCCTGAGCACCTCTTCCCCACTTCCTTTTGACAGGATTTGTAGGTGTTTTTGTGGGTGTTTTAGAGTCTTTAAGTCTGGAAGGGTTTTTTTTTTTTTTTTTTTTCTGTTTGCCATTTATTGCCTTAACAGAATACTTGGAGTATATTTATTTATATTTATTTTTTCAAAATCTGAAATCATTTGCGAGCCACAATCGTTCTCTGCCTCAGCCTGGGCACAGGTGCCTGACCTGCCTTTGCTCACAGTGGCCTCTCTGGCCACTGGGAGCTGCTGGCCTCCTGCAGGGTGGAAGTTCCTGGCAGCCCCAGAAAGCTGAGCCAGGCAGAGGATTTAAGCCCTCCTTTATTGTTCCTCTAGGAGCCCTGGTGGCACAGAGGTTAAAGCTCTCGGCTGCTAACTGAAAGATCAGCTGTTCAACCCCCCCAGCCACTCCACAGGAGAAAGATGTGGCAGTCAGTTTCTATAAAGATTTATGGCCTTGGAAGCCCTATGAGGCAGTTCTACTCTGTCCTATAGGGTCGTTATGAGTCGGAATCAACTTGACGGCAGTGGGTTTGGTTTTTGGTTTATTGTTCCTCTAATGCAGACACACAAGTGCCCTTACTCTAAAGTGAAAGCAAAATCTTGGAGAATTATGTTTTGTTCCTTTAGTCGATATAATTTAGAGGCATCACTACCTTATTCGGTGCAATTTTGCTTTCTAGGAAGGTCCTGAAGATCATTTTAGCTTCTTGGCATATACCCTGACTCTCTTGACTAATGCTGTGGGCTGGTGGGTTGGCAAGTGGCCCTGTGGAGATTAGTGTTTCTCCATTGTCCCCATGACTGGCCTCAGTCTTGTCTGTTGGGCCCTTGTGGTAGCCTCACAACCTGGCCTGGCCCTGACTGGTGCCATCTGGAAAGGCTAGAACATCCCAGAACATCTCCTGGCTCCCCAGCTAGGAGGCTCCTTGTCCTGGAGCCTTATTAATGTTGGTTTCTTTGGGGTAGGGATAAGACCAGCTTCTGTGGAAGGCTGGTAGAGGGCTGATCCATTTGGAGACAGGCGTGCTGTGAAACTCAATGTAAAGTGCAGGAAGGAAAGCCCAACATTAGGGCCTCAGGGCCTGGAAGACTCTCCTTGGTAGATACAGTACTGCCATTTATTTTTCAAAAGAAAACAAAGTGCCCCGGTATTCCTAGTGCTAAACGTTGAAATGCCACTCTTGCTCCCAATACTGTCCCTGCCCATCACCCTATGAGCCAGAGAGCTAGTCACTCAGAGGACAGGTCCCTGATTGCCAGACCCTGTCTCCTCAGCCCCAGTGCTGACCATGGCCCTGTACATTTGTACATGGCACCCTTGCAGCCTGTTTTTAGCTCTCATGTTTAAAACTTCAAAATAATACACTAACATGCTTTTGTTGAAAAATCTCAGTTCTCCTAGGGATTTGAAGCTCCTCACAAGATGTAATGCCAGGCTTTCTGCCTCCTGATGGGGCCGTGTGGGTCCCGTGGGGTCCCATGGCGCAGCCTTGGCAGCTGAGCCCAGCCCTGGGCTCCGTTGCCTCCCATGTCAGATTCAGATGCGGGGCCTTGACAGCTCACGGTGGACTAACATTAGTTACCTGTCCTGGTGGCCTGCACCACAGCATCTGGTCTGACCTCCGTAATAGCCAGTTGTTCGCCAGAAATTTGCTGCTTTTCCCCTGACTCCACCAATCTGGTGTAGGTGGCTGAGTAGTCATGTGGATTTTATGTGAATTGTTCATACTTAGTTTGTGCTGATTCAGGTCATACAGTCTTATCCTGGGGTTTACTGGCCTGTGTCAAGACCTCAGTCCTCTGAGAGCTGGCCTCCGCTGCCATTTCCTCTGGCGTCTGGGGGTTCCCCGAGGTCTGGTTGCATTTTAACTGAGGGGAGGACAGATCTTGCCCCTTCGGGGTCAGGACACAGGCCAGCAGCACCCTCCACCCAGAAGCTTTATTTTTGCAGTGCTCATAGCTTTAGAGCAGGGAGGGTCTCCTCACAGTGAGGTGGCTAGAGCCAAGAAAAGTGAAATGGTTTTTCCAAGTTTACACACACAGTGGCAAGACTGAGGCTGGAGCTCTGCTGTCTGCCTCCCAGCCTGGTGCTCTTCCCTTTGTACCCCCATAAAGCACCAGCCAGCGACTCTGTCCTCCTCCTGGCCTGCTCTCGGTCTCTTCTCCAGATGGGGAGCAGACAGCTGGGAGAGGTCAGTGTGGATTATTACTGTAACCTAGTGCTCAGTGTCCAGTGCAGTGCTCCAGACAGCCTAGAGAGGAGCCACCTTCCCCTCCTGCTGGGCCCAGCAGGTTCCTGTCCTGGGAGGTAGAGGTCTTTGTATTTCCCTGGGCCCCCGGCGATTAGAGGGCCTGTCCTGCGATGCTGGCTCCTCCCAGGTCCTCCCTGGGCAGGTGGGAGCCCCCTCTGTCCTTGGGCAGGGATTTTTATTCCTTCCTGTCTTCGGCTGGCGTTTTCTGAACATCTGCTGGGTGTGTGTCGCTGAATAAAGTGCTATCAATTCTGCTCTGTTTTTTCTTAACCTTCCATCACAGAAACTTTCTTTTTTCAATTAGAGATTTTTTTTCACATCTACACTGTCACCAGTTTCATTAATGGAAATAGGGCCGTCACAGTCTGTTTTCTGTGAAGGAGAGCGGCATTGCTGCCCAGATCCTCAGGTGACCTGCCCTTGGTCAGAAAGTTTTACACCATACTCTCTGGAGAGGAAATATTTTAAGGATTTAAGTCTGTTTTGGTGTGTGGGCTTCCTGTTTATTTAGTGATGTACATGTTGGAGCCCATCTGCCCTGTAACATGGTTTAAACAACCTTCCATAGAACTGTCTTGGGAAAGTCCATTGGAGGATAAGGGGTCTCATACTCTGTTTTTTATCATTTGGTTTAATTAAAATTGAACAAAATATAATGGGATTATTGACTGGAACAAGTTCTTGTTAGCTGGAGCTCTCAAACAATGGGAAGGCCTGGGCTATTTTGTCCAGGCCAGCCCTTTGTTGTAGAGGAGGTTTCGGGGACCGCCTGCCTTACCTCTCCACCCTCAACTCTTAGGCAGCGCAGCCATGCTTTCCCTTCTCCTGTACTGATTGGTAACACACTCCCAGTTTCCTGAGATTCTCCAGTAGTAGTCCTGCCTACTGTCTGAACAACACGGGGAAGCATTGTTTTCTTGGCATCTTTGGCACTCCCTTGGCCGTCTGCTAAAGCACCTCAAGACTTTGCCGCCCGGCATGGGCTGGAGCTGGGCAGCTTTGTTCACAGCTTCCAGCTGTTCCTTACAGGGACAAGGTGTTCGGGTTCACTGAATGGGAAAAGTAGTCATTTCTGGTAGGAATAAAGGTCTGTCGCTGCTCTCAATTTCCTCAGCTCTCAGCCTTGTCTGGGGTCTTCTTAGAATGAAGTGTTTTGGGGCCTTGTCCTGGTACAGTGTTAGAGGAGGAGTTTGTCTGGTTGGTGTCCTAGGTTGGCTGTTACTGCAGTTGAGCTCCAACATGTGCACTCACCCTGTGCTGGGAGAGGTGAGTCCCAGCCACCCTGGCGTCCTGTTTCTCTGTCAGAATGTAGCACACCGAGACTGTCCCTGACCCTCCTCCAGCCATGGAGATCCCTGTATGTCTGCTCACCCTGCTGCATGTAGGCCCAGCGGGGGCAACCTGCAGAACAGGGTGGCGGGGAGGGTGGGTCTTGAAGACAGTGTCATGCTGGATCCTTGAGGGGTGTGGTGTTCGGTTCTGACCTTCCTTTCTTCTTATGCTACCACCTGCACACCCTCAAGTACCTTGCCGAGGCCTGTGTGTGGGGCTGGAGAGATGGATTGACTGGGGCGCTGCAGGGCGTCCACAGCTTCACTGAGTCCCTGTCCTGGGCGCTCAGGTGGAGCCCCTCTGAACTAAAGGTGAGGAGTGGGACATTTTGGAATGAAGCCTGTGCCAGTTCTCCCCCCCGCCCCACTCCTATTAGCTTGCGACTGGGAAAGCAGTGATACACAGTAGACATGGCTGCTTAGGCAGTCAGCCAGGATCTAGCATTTGGTCCTGACAGTGGTGTGTGAGGGCAGGGGACAGGGATGGCCCCATTTCATCATGTCCTGTATTCCTGATGCCGGCTCTGGGATTTAGCCTGGCAGAAGGAACAGGGCAGCACAGACGTGGAGAATGGAGGTAGGTCAACAGTGAGAGTCTGCGTCTGAGGTGCCTCACAAGCAGTCGGACGCCAAGTCGCTAGACACATTTGAGGAGAGGCAGGGGAGTGAAGGAGACCTTCTCTCTGCCCACTCTGCACTTGCAGTTTCCTTGCCTTCTGCAGGTCAGGCCCTTTCTGAGGAAGTGGCCCAGGGGAGCTGGAGGGCTGCTGGCAGGAAGGCTGAGGCCTAAGGAGGGCGGCCAGTGGAGAGTGGAGGAGAAAACAGCGGCAGTGCGTGTGGCTAGAGAGGTTTCTGGACGGACCAAGAAGGGCCTTGTATGTTTAGGGAATGAGTTGAGCTGTTAGGCGATGGCGACCACTCAGGAGTTTGAAAGGTATAGGTG